AATCATACCAACACCCATTGATATTTTTTCTTATTGTTTTCTTAACCAAATAATATCATTTTTATTTCTCACATGATAAAAAATTTGAATAACCTTTATTGACCATGGTTATTCGATCCAGCCCGTGATCCAAGATATGATAAGGGTAAGCTCCTAGGATAAGTCATAAAAGCATGATAAAAAAAACACTATAACATGAAAATTCAATGGAATTAAGCAGCAAGGATGAAACTGTAAAAAAAAAATAATCAAAAAATGAATTCAAAATAAAAATAATTGCAATTAGGATCAAATTTTTTAAAAAAATGACCGGGGATTAAATTAAAAAATAAAATTCAATTAAAATTTTTTTAAGCATAATAAATAAATAAAAAATTAGAATAAAATGAGTTAAATTCAATGGATCATTTTACAACTTTGCATAGTCAGCATATATTTTAATACGGGGAGGAGAAAATATAGAGAAGGGATTATTGTTGGAGCTTGTTCTTGTCATGTATGGCAACAAGCGTAAGCTCACCATGTAGAGAGTAGTGCAATGCTTCGGATGCCACAATGTGATGCTACTAATGGCTATCAGAAAGCACCACATATACTGTCTAATGGGTGCAAACACTGATTATTTTTTTTTATTATAAAAAGATCATAACACTCCTGATCCTAAAAAGATAATTCTAAAAGAAACATGGTTAAAAAAACTAAAATATCCATTGTGTACAACCCATAATAAAAAACACCAATAAGTTTTAATTTTATTTGTAATTTCAATCCCCTAGTGATTTATTTGTTTGTCAATAAGTCTATTATCTACTTGTTTATTTAGGTTTTAGAATTGTATTTTTAAAATGTGTATGGCTTGGAAAAATATTAAATTAATATTTTTATGATTATTTTTTATAATTTTAATATACTGATATTAAAAATAAAAAAATATTTATCTTAACATATTCTAATTAAAACCTTTTTAGAAACAACTATAACACAACACAAAAGCACTCGCTCAAGATTTAATCACTATTTTCAATTATTGATCTTGTTTGTAGTTTATATGTGATGTAGTCTTTAAAATATCAGTTGTTTTGTTTAATAATGAGACAAATACATAAAAATAAATAAATCATATATAGTCCCATTAAAAAGTGATAAAATTCTATTCTTTTAATCAAGAATTTATTTTTAATTTATTTTTACTACTTGTATTTATCTCTTGCAACCATAAAATTTCTCAGCATAATCACATGTTCAATGCTTCGAAACAAAATACTAAGTTTTTTTTAACATAATAAAAGATCCAGTATTTAATTAATATACAAATTAATCTAAACATAAAAAAGTATTGACAAATTTCAACGTGATAACATCCAAAAATGATATTGTAATAAAACAACTTGTTTTTAAAAGATATTATTAAATATATGATACTAAAAAAATAATTATTAATTAATAAAAGAAATATAAAAAAAATTAAAAGATTATAGTTTAATTAGTTAGATTTTAAATTTAATTTTCAGATATTATCAATTTAAATTTTATAAATTTTATAATCATTAAAAAATTATATAATTATTAATTTAAAATTAATTAAGATGTAAATAAGTGGAACTGAATACCAATATTAATAAAATAAATAAAATAAAAAATTATTAAAAAATAAATAAATAAATATCAAACAGCCTTTTAAACAGTTGAGAGACCAACGGCTGGGACACCATGGAGGCACCAATCCACGAACTACCAAAAAACAATCCATCCAAACAAAAAACTCACCAACCAAAACAAACCAAGTGTCGTAAATCCAATCTCCACACGGACAGCTAGTTAGATCCATCAGATCACCTGGAATCGCCAGTATCCAACCAAACACCAACATCCTTAACTCTCTTTCTCTCTCCTCACAGGCCCAAACTTTCCCCTCCATCATCATCCATTTTCTTCAACCTTTCTCCTCCCCCCTCCTCCTCTCTCAAATAAAAAACGAAGAAAAAGAATTCATCTCCTTTCTTTTCTAGGGTTTTTACAGCCATCATCGCCGCCGTTGAATTATTGTTTTTTATGATCGAGAAGAAGATATGGCAGCGGGCATGGATTTTTCGCCACCATTTACGGTACTAGAAGGCGGTTACAACAAAGACAACAACAACAGCAGCACTAATGTATCGGAAAATCAAAACGCTGAGAATTTAGACAACCTTAAACAATCCACCAATGGGAAACCTCCACGACATCTCCGTCAAAGTATGGACTCCACCCGATTGCTCAACGCCGCTGATCTGGTAAATTTAGAAATAAATTAAAAATTAAATCTTTTTTTCAATAATCATGAATTGATTGATTTTTTGTTTAGGCGCTTGATGTTGGGGTTGTGGTCGTGGTTAGTAACTTACCGGCTGATGAAAGAACGGACTTTTTACCGTTGTTTCGATCGGGAAGTTGTGCTGAAGGAGGGCCTAAACAGTATATGGAAGATGAACATGTTTGTATAGATAATCTTGTTGATCATCTAGATGCCACCGCCAACTGCCCTTCTCCGGGAGCTTTTTATGGGGTGAGTATTTCAAAACATCTTGTTGATCTCTGAGTGACTGGGAATTTCATTATGTTGATAAGTTAGCTGGAAATGTGTTTTGGGCTGATTTTAAATGGAATATGTGGGCAGGTATTTGATGGGCATGGAGGAACAGATGCGGCATTGTTTGTGAAAAATAATATTCTGAGGTTTATAGTCGAGGACTCCCATTTTCCGATTTGTGTGGAGAAGGCTATTAAGAGTGCTTTTGTGAAAGCTGATTATGCATTCGCAGATGATAGTGCACTTGATATCTCTTCTGGCACCACCGCACTAATTGCTCTTATATTTGGAAGGTAAGAGGGATGTATCCTTTTTAGATATAGAATATTTAGTAGGATATTGTTGCCAAAAATTTCTTATTTGGGACTAAGGTGTAGCCCCCAAGCTTCCTATTATTCAACAGTTTGTCATTCACCTTTACATGTACTTTATTTGAGGATTGCTTAGTTGTTTTGTTGAGCGCTCCTGTAAAGTAACAAGGAGAGGGAAAAAGTTGGACAGTGGTAGAGTTGGAGATGGCGATAGAAATTGGAGTGAGGTAGAGTAGATCTGACTGAACTTTTGGATCAAGTTGAGCTGGGTTTATCAGTGCAATACAAATAAATAACCTTTTCAAGTTGAAGATTAAGTGTTGCATAGCGTCAAAATAGATATTGAAACAAGGGCCTTTTGTTATGTTTGTCTGCTGTCCCATACTCTTGGGAACTCCTGTGTGCAGACATGTCTTCCTGATAAGTTTACATCAGTCTCCAGGTTCTGGATCTCATTTAGGTTTTGAGGTTTCATTTCTCTGAAATAATTCTACTCTTTTCCAGGACATTAATAGTTGCCAATGCTGGAGATTGTCGAGCAGTGCTGGGGAGGCGAGGTAGAGCAATTGAGATGTCCAAAGACCACAAACCTAATTGCACATCAGAGAGACTAAGAATTGAGAAACTTGGTGGCGTCATTTATGATGACTACCTTAATGGCCAATTATCTGTTGCACGTGCCCTCGGAGACTGGCACATGAAGGGCCCTAAAGGTTCAGCCTGCCCTTTAAGTGCTGAGCCTGAATTGCGAGAGACAAATTTGACTGAGGAAGATGAGTTCTTGATCATGGGCTGCGATGGCCTGTGGGATGTAATGAGCAGCCAGTGTGCTGTGACAATTTCTAGGAAAGAACTGATGCTCCATAATGATCCTGAAAGATGCTCAAGAGAGCTGGTCAGGGAGGCACTCAGACGCAATGCATGTGATAATCTAACAGTGATTGTTATCTGTTTCTCCCCGGATCCACCCCCCAGGATAGAAATCCCGCAATCCCGAGTTAGGAGGAGCATATCAGCTGAAGGTTTGAACTTACTAAAGGGTGTTCTGGATAGTAACTCATGAAAAAACTGATGGTTTGATCATTTCTGTACAAATACATTCAAGGTTGGAACAGGTAAGAACATCTTTCTCTCCAGGCTGCTCTTGATATCCACAAGGCCATGGCTGGCATTCAGCTTTCTTCAGGGAATAAATATGGCATGGATTCTTTGGAGTTTGAAAACCCTGTACATCTGATATAATTTATGTTGTTCCATTTGGAGTTCGTTGTTCAACTTCTTAGTTGCATGCACCTCCCTCTCATTCTTTTCTTCAACGTTGTACATAATTTGGGGGAAAATGAGAGCTGTGATCTAACACTCTACTTTTAAATCGTTTATCTCGGTGTTGTCATTCAATGAATTAATTGATTATGAGGGATTTCCATGGATGCCTGCTTACTTGTTTCCGTCGATCATTCTGTTAGATAACTCTTGATGTTTTTTGGATTGTGTTGCCTTCAAAACTGACTTGATCATAACTAGCCGCAGCTCTCATAAGCTCATCTTATCAATTATCATCCAGCCTGCCCTTTTATGCTACTAGTGGTGATTCATGAAACGAGTTCAGACTCGCAGATATCGATTGCCTGAAAATAAATAGCTGATGGAAACATGAAACGAGTTCAGGCTCGCAAAGTACCTGAAGACCGAGAGAACATATCTTTGACAAAAATTCACATTATTATTAATGTCCTGGAAATAAATATATTTACGTCGTTTTCGTTACTTGTGTGTATCAATTAGATACTAACCGAACACAATTTTAAATAATGGGATTTCGTATTAAAATAAAAACTACAGTAATTTTTGAGTTCGATAGAGTCGCTTGGTGTTGTGCCCTTTTAACCCTTTCCACTAGCATTCCCAGTTTTCAAACTTCTCGATACAAGTTTTTGTAAGCGGAAAAGGAGTAGAGCAGTACACTCACATCAATGCCGAGAAGAATAGCATGATTTCAGGTTTTTAATGTGAATATGGGATACCAAAGGTCCAAAGCTGTCCCATCATAATGAAAATCTTGAACCGTAAGGCACAGCTGCTTCACCTGTGCCGGAGATTCAAAACAGGAAGCAACAAGGTGAAGTTAACAAGTCATATATTTGACAAAGAAATAGAAATCGAAATCAATGTGTCTGTCCTCTTTCACGATTGTTATTGCTATGTTTAGGTCCAAAACACTGATACAAGGCCTGCCTATTTGTTGGAGAAAAATTGTGGGGTTGTAATCCCGGGCACAATTCAACATTGTAAACAAGGCTGTCAAGTTTGGAAAAACTTTCCCACGAGTGATCGATTCAAAATCATAGGAGTTACTCAGAGTTCTCCATCTGGTTCATCATCATCAGCGTCCGCCTGATGGGAGTCACTACATAAACCAATAAAGTTTTCAATTAATATATAAATTAGAGCATGGTGCCTCTTTTAGGTTGACAAACAATAGCTGTGCATGATTAAACTGGAATCAGGTAATTTCCAATCAACAGGCAGATTGAGGAGAGACGCAGGTGCAAATTTTATTTTCTCAACCAGTAATCATGCATGATTAAACTGCGATCAAGTAACTTGCAATCAACAAACAAAACAATATTGAGGCAATAGCAAGGTGCGAATTGTATTTCTCGTTCAGGAGGTGCACGTGCCTTTGATTGAGAAAGCCACTCAAGTCAGTGAATGGTTAATTGATACTTCCAAGTTAGGTCACAACACAACTTGGTGCTTCTTTAAAGCCAAGTTCCCAGGGATTGATGGTAACTATCCTTGCAACCAGCTATTTTGCTTAAAGTACATAAACCTGGCTTTAGATTCAACGTTACCTGGACATATTACAGTGCTTGCTCAAATCCTGGCATAAGATCTTGCTCACACCCCCTACTTTTACAGATCCTTTCTTTATCCGTTCTGCCAACTGCAATATTAACCATCCTTAGTAGCCTGAACAGTCACCCTATAATAAACAACATAAATAACCAGTTAACTAAGAAATGGCTAAGCAGGATATGAAAACTCACCTCATCTTCAGTGTCCTCCAATAACCTGTCCCATTTTACACATACAGGTTAGACTTTGGTAAACCATACACTAGCTGGCATTTAACATCCTTGAAGATAAGCACAAATTACACAATCATATGCATATTTTGCAATGAGTGAAAATAGAGGGATGACCAAAACTTTCCATCTCACCTTCCACAATAAGATGATATATCTTTTGAATATGCCTTGGCTTCTTGCTTGTCTATCAAAAGATAAAAATAGAAAGACAACTTAAAAAATTTGTGGTAGTTTCAGTTGAAAATAAAAGTTCAAAGACACAGAAACAAAGAACATATAACAAAAATGCTGAGTTAGGGCCAACCATTGGCATCACAACTAATAAGCGTGAACCAATTTGTGGGAAAAGGAAGTGATTCCAATTTCCTAGAAAGGCAAGGATAAGAAATTTTGTGGTGTTCCAATCCCATTCTCCTAAAAAGGAAAACAAACTCACCAGAGCAAGGATACGGCTCTTCTGCTTAAATAGAATTCCCATTCTGTTATGGGGTGATCAAGATCTTTGTTTTCAGCTTCCCATCAAATCTTAAACTCACATCTATTAATCTAAGGCTAGTTGCACTTCACAATTAAGCTACCAATCCTATTTGAAGAGTAAGATAGTAGTCCTAGTCCTGCTATCATTTTACATTCTCTTTATCAAACATAGCCCATTTGAAACTAAATGAACGCACAAAAAGCATGGCATCAAATCAGACATCAAGTTCGATTAAGAAATGGAGGAACATCATGAAAACCAGGGACAAATTGGTTAATGCACAGAAGCCACAACAAGAGACAAGAATATTGTTAAGAACAGACAATATTATTAAATACTTACTAATTGCAAGATTGTCCCAGTTATCCACTCTAACCCATTCATATCTTTTCGAATCCACCTGCCAAAATAATGAAACAAATATTGAATGTGCTTGCAAGAGGACATGAAATAAATAAACATGCAGCTGCAAAGACAATATTCAATAGCAAAATGATCAAGGATCACCAGACATCACTGTTAACAGAAACTACAAATAGTCAAGCACAAATGTCTCCGACTAAAAAACTCAGAAGTAATACATCAACCATGCATCCAAAGCAAAGAACACAACCGATGAAGAGCTCAATTCAACCGATAATTACCTTCTGAAGAGTGTAATCTTGCATTTTATCACAAAGCCCATCTAGTAACTCAACGACCCTAAGCTCACTGACTCTGTCCAAAAAAAAAAAAAACACAATCATAAAAAAATTAGCAACATTTACATGACAATGCGCCCCAGAAAGACACTACACTATATGGCACGGAGAGGAATAGATAATTTAAAGTTTAAAGGAAATATTGAAACTTTACCTGTAATCAATTACTTTTCCTTTACGTTGACCTTTAGAATCCAATCTGTGTCTCATATCCAAATGATTCCTCGGTTTTTCCTACACAATAATTACCAAACCATTGAGAAATGAAGCACAGCTTAAAAAATTGAAAGAAAATAAGACTAGAATCCTTACATTGGAAAGCCCATTCTCTATCTCCTCCTGAAAAATCGATGATCACAACATTCAGTTGAGCTCGGAAGGATGATTAGTTAATAATTAAACCCTAATGATCATCGAATAAAGCACAGAGAGAGAATTGGAGGATCTGAAGGAAATAAAGGAAAGTACCGCAACGGCATTACAAGCAGCGCATTTGTCATCGATGCTTGAGACAACTGTGAATGTCAAAATGAAGAGTATCATCAGAAGCCACGCCGTCGACTCCGCCATCTTTATCGTTCTTAGTCTTCGCCTCTTCCGATCGCACCTCTCTCTCTCTGGT